AAATTTGTTATATACCTTGGTGGTTGTTTATACCTTTTGCTTGACTTACAAGCTGTTTTTAGATTGTTTTGTTTATCTGATTAGCTGTGTAACTTAGGATGGTGTTGGTTTTCATGCAAACTGACTAAAAAAATGGGTTTAGATTTTCGTATAAAACAAATGACAAATATAAAAAAAGCAATGCAAACTAATACAAGAAGGCATTCAAGTTAAAAACTTCACTTAGGAAATGGTTTTATATCATTTTGTAAAATGAGTCTTTTAGGATTTCGAATTATACCCTCTGACAAACTTTGCTTCTTTAGTGCTCTGCCTACTCTTTCTAACTCATTCAATTGGTTTCAATTTGATTGATTTTAAACCTACATTTCTCAAATTTAACAAGTTGTCTTCACCACCCAAATAAAAATGTCCAATTGGTTACATGTTTTAATTTTGGGTTTTGTTTTCATTTGTTTTCTTTTGTTTCTGCTGAATTGAAATTACCTAAATTTTGATGTTGCTCCTAATCTCATGTTGTAGGATTCTCTTCCAACGATCTATCCATTACTAGGTATGGGTATATGCTCACATTCACCTACCTTTACATTACTTTCTTCGTTTGCTAATTATACTTTTTTACCTAAAAAAGGAGCAAGCAGCTGAAAGAAGAACAATGAAAACATTGAACAGAGAAAATCATTTTGCTTGCTCCTTTGTATTTGATTATTATTATACAAACCAAAACAATGACGACTACAACCTCGACATGCTCAAGGTTGAACTTTGCAATTTATGTATTATATTTTGTTTTGTAATTAATTAATCATTTGTATTAATAACCAATCTTTTGTATTAATAATCGATGTACCCTTATTTGATTTATATAAGTTCATTTTCAACGTATGAGTTAATGCCTTAACTTCAATAATCGATGTACCCATATTTGATTTATATAAGAAGTTCATTTTCAACGTATGAGTTAATGCCTTAACTTCAATTTTTATGTAAAGGTTTAAAAAAGACTAGCCTCCCTGCACGCGCTTCCACGCGTGCGAGAGGCTTTTTTAATCACGCGCGCTACGCGCGACTTACAAAGTTTCGTAAATATTTTTTCGCAATTGTATTTATATAGATGTCCGTTTCAACAGTTTTATATTTTAATCGCACGCGTGTGATAAATCGTCGTGTTAAGAGTTTTCTTTTATCGCCCGTATTTTTCTAGACGTCCATCTTAGCAGTTTCTATTTTTTCTTTTATAGTGTGTAAACTGTTAAATTTGAGGGTTAGTGGAGAGTGGAGAAAATGGGAATGAGAGGCACGAAATCTATGACAAAGGGACAAGCTATGACAAGCTTGCCGACATCATGTAGTATGATTTATCCTACGAAGGAATCCGTTCGTGCAAGCTTTTCTAGACGTCCATATGCTTTGTTGGGAGAGGTCCCCGCTTTGCGCCCGACAGTACCTCGAGGGTTAGTCCCCGCAATCGCGCGGGGTATACCTTGGTTTTCACCAAAAAATTAAACATATCATACATAGAGTTTAGAAGTTACTTGAATTGTGAAATTTCACAATAACAATGAGTAAAAACAAAGAGAGTAGCTGGCGGCACCACCACACGGCGACGACGACGGAAACACCAGCACAGCGGCACCCCAATGGCGGCAGCAAGGGAGGAGATGGAGTTGAGGGTTTGGGGGAGGGGGGGGAATTGAGTTGGGAACTTAGGGTTGGAGGAGAAAACAAAAAAAATTGGGGGTTTTAGAATGGAGGAATCGGTGCTGTGGAGAGAAGATAGTATCTTCAAGATACCCTGGCCTTTTTTTTTGTTATTTCAGACCTGGCCCAAAACGACGTCGTTTTGCCCAGGTTGTTTTAATAAAAGAAAAGAGTCGCGCCCTATGCGCATCCTCCTTCTTCAGGTTGCAAAACCTTCATTCTTCTTCAGTCATTTGGTCGAGTACTTGATGTGCAGTTCCAAGAGGTCGCACCAGCTTCTCCAAGGGACCTCTAAGCTTATTTCCATGGCTTCCAAGAGGTCGTGCGACCCCACTGACCCCACTGTGGCTCCGCCTCTGCTCTTAATATCAGCATAGGAATATCTGCTTGGCTTCTGAGCTATGTAATCTTCCAAAAATCTTTCAATCCTCAACTGATTTTTTTGGTCTATTTTCTTGGAGCTATAGGCTTGGTAGATGATGAGAGCCCCCACTGCAATAAGAGCCACAGAAACTGTGCAAACAGCAGATAGAGATGACAAAAATTATCCTAATTACATGTGATTCAGATTTATAGTCCAGCAATGCAAGTGCTTTAATAAGTACTTTTGCTATGAAATCAATAAATTCTGAGTCCTGACTAATGAGATCGAATTTGAATGACTGAAAACAAAAATCATGGTAGGATCTTTCTGGTGAATATGGACAACTGAATAGCGTATAATTATAGTTATCCGATTCAGGCACAAATTGTAAGGGATAAGAAGATAAATATTGAAGTAAAAAATATTTCCCGATTGGTAATAATCGTGGTAATATATTTCAATCTCCTGAGAACACTCTGCGGTTGTTAGTGTTAGTCAAGACATAAACAAGACATAGACAGCTTTCCTAAAACAAGGAAAAGCTTGTCTATCACATTTCCACTTTTCCATGTTTATAGAAACACCTTTCCATGTTTACATTTCCATGTTTTAGGGAAACACAAATCCTGGAAATAATCCTTGCTTTGTGATCTTGTTTGTAACTAATAGTTAGCTAGCTACATTTGTATAAATCTCCTCAAGATAGTAATACAAGCAGCTGATTGGAATTCTCTGCAAAACATATCATATCTCATATTCTCCACACTCTTAATTACACTATCTTTGGCATGGTATCAGAGCAATCGATTTTGGTTGCCTCTGCATAACCTTGTTCTTCCCTAATCTCTACCTATCCTTGCCCATAATTTGCTGTTATATCATTCCTATCTCATACTTTGCCTTACCTTAAAATTGGTTGTGATCACAATCCTAATTTGTGCTCTTGTTTGCTGAAGTTCTAAGCTTGTTTGCTTAAACCTTGTCTCTACTTAACCTTGTCCCTGCATAATTCAAACTTGTGTTCCTTTGATTACTTGGTTCTGTTGTACCCCTGTTGTGTTCCAGAAAACTTCCGCTGCATTTACGTATCCATACTTTCACACAAGACCCACAACATGGCACCCAAGACTGCTTATGTCATGACTATCGGTGAGTCTCCATCTCCTGCCTTACTCTCCGACTCCAACCCCGACTCAGGTACACGCTCTACTACATGGATAATTGATACTGGTGCCACTGATCATATGACTTTTGACTCCACTGTTTTTTCCACCTTATCTCCTAAATCTCATTATCCTTACATCACTAGTGCCAATGGGGCTCCTTCTAATGTTGCTGGAGAAGGGACTATATCACTTTCCCCTAAATTGTCCTTACCTCATACACTACTTGTCCCCTCTATTAAATGCAATTTGTTGTCTGTTGGGAAATTCCTTGACTCACATAATTGTTATGCCACATTCTATCCTTCTCATTGTAAGTTTCAGGACCTTACGACTCACGAGACGATTGGGCATGGTAAACAGAGAGGGGGGTTGTATACCTTGACGGTCTCATCACCACCACGAGCTGCCCATGTTCAAAACTCACGTGCTCAACAACAGATTTGGCTATGGCATCGTCGCTTAGGACATCCATCGTTTGGCTACCTTCGACGGTTGTTTCCATCTTTATTCCAAGGCTTAGTTGATTCTCAGTTTCAGTGTGAAACCTGTGTGTTGGCCAAGAGCCATCGCACTGTATTTCCATCAAGTGATAGTAAAACAGAATTTCCTTTTGAGTTGATTCACTCCGATGTTTGGGGCCCTGCTAAAGTCTCTTCTACTGGCAAGAGGTGGTTTGCTACATTTATAGATGACTGCACCCGCATGACATGGGTGTACTTGCTCACCCATAAAAGTGATGTTACTACCACAATCCGTGAATTCCATGCTATGATCACCACTCAGTTCCAAGCATCCATCAAAGTGTTTCGATCTGACAATGGTGGGGAGTATGTGAATGGTGCCTTGGCTCAATTCTTCAAGGACCAAGGTATCATCCATCAAACCTCCACACCCTTCACTCCACAACAAAATGGTGTCGCCGAACGAAAGAATCGCCAATTACTTGAAGTTGCCCGTGCCTATATGCTTGATAAATCTGTTCCTCATCACTTATGGGGTCATGCTCTTCTCTCTGCAGTCTATGTGATTAATCGGGTAGTGAGGGTTGATACAGAGATGAGACTGCCGAGAGAGAGAGAGAGAGAGAGAGAGAGAGAGAGAGAGAGAGAGAGAGAAGATATATGTTTTAATTTTAATTTTAATATCTATAAAAAAAATTTTAATTCTTTTTTAATATTATATCTTAATATTTAATTACACCTAAGCTAAAAAGTAGACCCTGCGTTGCCATGTCATCATTTAACAGAAGACCAAACGGTCAAACTGACAGAATGTGTAAATTGGTTGAATTTTAAAACGTTGGGTCGTAAATTGACAAAATTAAAACACCGTGGCCCATTTCAAGAATGACCTCAAACCTTCGGGGGTAAAATGATGTTAGCCCTAGATTTTATTTAAGTTATAATAAGGTTTTCTTTAGCCAAAACATTGCTTCACACTAATGCCACTTTGTTATTATTTTTAATTTTTTTTTTATAAAAAGAGACTAATTCAGTTGTCAAAATACGCGAATAAAAAGTGTACTAAGAAAAAGAAACTTAATAACATTATATAAAGTTTTAATCAGTTTGAGTATCTGAATCTTTATGTAATCAAAATAAGCTTACTAGAACCATCAAGAGTGGCCCAGTGGTTTGTCTGCCATTTGGGTAAGGCTCTGGGGTTCAGCTGGGTTTGCTCCCTAGTTCGAGTCCCAGCAGTTGCAACACCTGGTGGCCAGTGGCAGGCTCAGTTCTGCGAATGGGGATTAGTCGAGGTGCGTGTAAGCTGGCCCGGACAACCCTTGGTAATTACCAAAAAAATAAATAAGCTTACTAGTTGAAAGCAAAATAAAATACATAAATATATATAATTATTATTTTAGTTCATTTTTTTAGCAAAATAAAAATGTAAAAGGGATGGAGGAAACTCGCTTGAGAGTCCTTTTAGTCTTGGCATTGGAATCGATTCTCTTTATTGTAGTTGGAGGAGAAGATGCTCCATCGCCCTCATTTCTTATTCCACCCTCTTTGGTTGATGATCAATTTTATTATAGGCACTTACGCAGTTTCCTCAGAACACATATAGATATTAAATGTTTGTTTCGAGTTATTGGAGAATGTTTTTCATTACATAATGAAAAATTTCATGGAGTGATGAAGGAATGTACATATATATATATATATATATATATATTTGTTTTGAAACAGGTGTGATTTCTTTCTAATGGTTATTCCAATTGGGGCCATGGTTTTTTTATCTGCTTCTAATTGATATTTGAAGAAAAAAAACATAATCATATTTTGATGTTAGTCTAATTCCCTTTACCCGGCCACTCTTTGTCTTTTCTGTTTCCCCTTGTCCCTATTTCTCTCAATACGCATTTTCTCCAAATATGAGTTGGGCATTGTTGGAGGAAAGATCACAAAAAGTACATATGCAGAATAATGGAGTAGGACAATGAATATAGAGAACCAGAGAATCGGATATTAACAACTGATTGCTTGTAAGCTTCGATACAACAATATAGCCCATTCTACAATGCCTATTTCTAACTGGAAATGCACTTCTACACAACTACGCACAACTCTTGAAGCAATTCCAAGAGATATATAGACACAACACTTGACTTCTAAGAGTAGTTTGATGGTTTATCATTTTTGTCCCCGTAGTTTATAGATTTCTGTCAATTTTATCCTTTTAGTTTTCAATTTGGAACACTTCAAGGACATACACATTTCAATTTCTATCAAACTCCTCCCACTTTCACTATGTTTGACTCCCAATCCCTTGGCCACTCGTCCTCCTTTTTGCCTTGTACCTATTTCTCTTAATGCACATTTTTCTTCATTATTATGTTGCAGAAAATGACGTACTGCAATGAATATAGAGAACTAGAGAATCTGATATTTGTTCATATTTCATAAGGAGGGACGGATCCTTGGTCCACTACTAGTAACATCGATATTGTCCGCAACTTAACCACATGTATAGCAGGTGTGAGATTTTATACAAAAAAACCTCGATGTTATTAGGAGTGGAGCCATTAATTTATTATATGAAACTTTCTATTCTGTTAAATCGCCGATGTGAAACTCCGTTTATTATTCAACAATATTAACAACTTATTGTCTAAGCTTCGATACAACAGTATAGCCCATTACACTTGCTGTTTATAACTAGAATTAAACTTCTACACAACAACACACAACTCTTAAATTAATTCCAAGAGATCTAGAATTGTCCAAAAAAAAAAAAAAGAGATATATAGACACAACACTTGACTTCAAAAGAGTACGAATTTGTATATATAACTGAGAGACACAACTCTTCACTTTAGGAACACTTCACGTCACATTAATTGGTTGGGTCAATCTTCCCCTCAGTAATTTCTTCTCTTTTTTCCTGCCTTGTTCCCTTTCCCTACCCCTTGCAAGCTCCTTGCAGTGAATCTTGTAGAAAACAGAATGAAACAAATACCAGAATCAACAAAGTCAGAGTGACAACCAAGCCTCAAAACACACACTCAATGATCTCACAGACACAGGAAAAATAGAAGGAAGAAGACTGGAGCAAAAACAGACAAGTTTCATTCAATCTAATCAAAACAACGGCGGCTCCAATACAAATAGAGGCAACGCCTCTTTTGAGAGAGTGAGACTTTTCAGCAAAAAGTGAAAACATCCTAGAGACTACAGAGCACTCCGCCGAAAGCAATACACTTAGCTACAGTTAGCATGACTTATTGAGGCAATAAACAAAACATATCGTACGGGTATTTCGTCAAATTACCCCTAAACTTGTACCTAATTATTAATTTACCCGTTGACCTTGTTTTTAGAAAATTAAAACTCGAACTAACTTTTATTATCAATGTTCCCATACCGTCTAAATCAGCAACATTTCATCCAATTTGCTAGAGCTGGCAAACGGGTCGTTTTAGTGGGTTCCGGGTCGTTAACGGGTCAACCCGTTTTCTTAACGGGTTGACACGACCACGACCCGTTAAGTTAACGGGTGACAAATACTAGACCCAAACACGACCCGTTACAATTCGCGAATATCCGACACGACCCGTTAACCCGTTAAGAATAAACGAGAAAAAAAAAAATAATAAAAAAAATCAAAGCACAGCTTCTCTACCCAGCTAGCCAACACCTTCTCTGTCCTTTATCCCCCAAACCCCAACCCTAACCTTTCTTCCCTCTTTCCCTTTACATTTCAATCTTCTCGCCCCAAAATAGTATATATCTCGCTCACAAATATATTAAAACCCAACAACAACAGAAACTGAGGAAAAAAGAAAATTCAATCTGTGGAACTCGACCCAGATACCTCCTCCTTATTCCCTGGCTGACTCTGGTGGCTGGGCTCGTTGGTGGACTCTAGTGGCTGGGCTGACGGAGTCTATTGAGTGGAGAGAAGCATAGAAGAAGAGAAGAAGAAAAAAAGGAGAGGAAGAAGAAAAGGAAAAAAAGGAAAGAAGAAAAGGACACGGAAAGAGAAAGCTAAAGCGGAAAAGGTGAACTCACCCAAAAAAAAAGAGGAAAAGGTGAAGAAGAAAAGAAAAGAAATTTTGCAAAATTACAAAATTAACCTCCCTAACGGGTGTAACGGGTTCACCCGTTTTCAACCCGACCCATTAAGCTCAACCCAAATACTGATAATTTCGTGCGAATTCGTGTCGTGTTAACGGGTCGTGTGCAATATTGCTAGGTCTACAATTTGCCGTTAAATCATTAGAAAAAATTAAAGAAAAGAGAAATTTTTTTTTAAAAAACAAAACCCTCCCCACAGCTGTAACTGAGATTTGATTAACAATTAACCATTAATAATTGTTGCTGCTGTAAAGGAGAGAACCAACATATTACCAACACCAGGTGGAGGTTCTGTCATTCCAGGTCAGGATCATCTCCCCATATGAATTCCATCACTTTTGCTGAACCTTGCATATCTTCATGTCTCAGATTGACTTCAATATTCTTTCTCAGTAGTCTGAGTCTATCAGGAAGATCTGCGAGGACAACTTGACCACTTAGAAGAGCTGCAATGATTCTCTTACTTGCTATATGCTATCGTTCTTTTCTTCTTCCTAAACCCATACACCCAATCACCACAACCAACCCCTCATCTCACTGACCCAGAACAATAACTCCCTGTCCCCAGCTCAGCCATTCCAATGCTCTCTCTCTGCAAACATGTTCAATTTTTTGTTGTTGGACCTTCTAGCTCTACCCATATCCTCTGCTGCTTCAACAACAACTAATAAAACAAAGCATCACCCAAATTCTCGATTGAAATCCTAGCAGGAAGTGACAACCCCATTTCCCGCCCTAGATCCGAACTCTACCAGCATCGCAACCCAATGTCCACCATCGCCACCCTCTCTCTTGATCTCTGACCAACCTCCACGCTCCACTTCAAATCTGGGTTGTTTGAAACCTAGAGCCCCTTCCTCAAACCCCTCTATCTCTCTCTCTCTCGAACAGAACAGACCCATGAAAATTGCACCAATGGGTTGCAGGGTCGCAGGGTTGGTGGGTGCAAAGAGCTAACGAGGGTGGCTATAGCTGGGGAGGCACAAATGGGTATTGGGTCTCGCAGAGAGAGAGAGAGTGTGTATGTGTATGTGTGTGTGTGAGGGTAGCGGGCAGAAGGGAGACGTGGCGGTGGAGGGGGTGGGTGGGTCTCACCCCTCTTTATAAAAGGGAGTTTCACTAAAACACCCAAAATGGGGGCTGAAATTATAAAAAAACCCAACACCCAAAACACTTTATAAACACACCCAAAATCCATCATTACACACACTCAAAACCCATTTATAAACACACCAAAAAAATATACAATTGTTGATTTTGGGTGTGTTTCTATGTTTAAATAGTGTTTGGATTTTTTTATAAATACATGTCTAGGATTGAGTTTATTTATAATAATAGTTTATTTTTCTTCATTTTTTAGGTCATATTTTTTTTATTGTAAAGTATTTAATTATTTTTAACATATGAAATAATCAATTTGCCCTCATTTTTTTAACATTTGAGTTCTAAAAGTGAGGGCAAATTGATCATGCGCACGCTTTTATGCAAGGTATTTCATCAAATTATCCCCGAACTTATACCTAATTATTAATTTGCCTTTTAACTTTTTTTATAAAAAAATTAAAGACTCAATGTTCCCCCTTTACAAGACTTGTGTTTTTCTTCTTCTTTTTTATTTGTCTTTTTTTATTGGACATTATGCTCGTCTCTTCCCTCTCTTTTCATGCCTCTTTCCCCGAAGATTCCTTGCATTTTCCTGACCTTCAAACTTAGCCGTCCAGCATCCACAGAAAGCGACCCCTGACTTTGGGTAATTCAATAACATATTAATCTGCTGCTCAAGGCCAAACCACTGCCTAGAAAAAAATAATTAATTATGAGATAACTTCTTCTGCTCAAGTCGGATCGGAAGGCAGTATCAATTTGTAGTTGGTCTGATCTGAACCAGTATCAATTAATGGATCCCAGGAAAGCCCATAAAGCCTCTTCATCCTCACCATCCTCCTCATCAAAACGTTGGGAGTACCACATATTCTTGAGCTTCAGAGGTGAAGACACGCGCAAGGGCTTCACGTCACACCTTCACAAGGCATTAGAAAGCAGGGGATACGATGTTTTTATGGACGAGGATGATCTACAAGTAGGGCAAGTTATAAAACCAGAACTGTTGCAGGCAATTGAAAATTCCAAGATGTCTGTAATTGTCTTCTCAACGAGGTTTGCAGATTCCAGTTGGTGTCTTGATGAGCTAGTGAAGATCATGGAGTGTAGAAGAACACTGAATCAAATCGTTTTGCCAATATTCTACGATGTGGATCCTTCAGACGTCAGGCATCAGACTGGTACTTTGGCAACTGATTTTCAGAAACATACCATCCGACATAAAGATGAGGTGGTAAAGGAGTGGAAAAGGGCTCTTACTGAAGCTGCGAATTTGTGTGCCGGGGTTCTCAAAGACACTGCGGACAGGTAATGCGAGAATATGATCTCCTTAATTACGTCTATAGTTTTAGTACATATATATATCGTTATGTTTAGAAACTTATATGCAGATCTCGACAAAATCTGAGTTCTTTTGTTTTGCTTCTGAATTTAATTTTCAGGAACGAAGCAAAGTTTATCGAGGCATTTATTGAGAACAATATTATCGGATGGCTTTCCACAACTCCCCTACCAGTAGCCGCCTACACGGTTGGAGTCGACTCTCGTGTACATGATATGATCAGTTATCTTTTAGGTAGATCACAAGATGTTGTCATGATTGGAATTTGGGGGATGGGCGGACTGGGCAAAACAACAGCTGCGAAGGCCATTTATAATCGAATTAAGGATAAATTCGAAGCTCATGGTTTCCTTGGAGACATTAGGGACACTGCAAATAGACATGGTCTTGTTTATTTGCAAAAACTACTTCTTGCTGAAATCTACAAGAAACCGACCAAATTTCACATAAGTTGTGTTGATGGAGGGATGGGTATGATAAAAAAAGAACTTGGATGTAAAAGGGTACTTGTAATTATCGACGATGTAGATGAAAAGGAGCAACTCAAAGCGATAGTTGGAAATCGTGATTGGTTTGGCTCTGGAAGTAGAATTATAATAACTACTAGAGATAAACAATTTCTAGACGTACTTCGTGTGGATAAAACTTTCACGGTTCCAGAAATGAATCCAGATGAAGGTCTTGAGCTCTTTTGTCGGCATGCCTTTCAAAAAGGTTGTCCTAATAAACGATATCTTGAACTCTCGAAAAAGGTAGTTTTTTATAGTAGAGGTTTGCCACTGGCACTTGAAGTTTTAGGCTCTTGCTTGGTTGACAGAACCATAGCAGAGTGGGAAAGCCAATTGGAGGAATTGGAAGGAATCCCTCCTAAAGAAATTCTAAAAAAACTGAGAATAAGCTATGACGGTCTAGATCGTAACGAGAAGTGTATATTCCTTGATATATCTTGTTTCTTCATTGGAATGAACAAACACCATGTCAGAAAAATATTAGATGGATGTGGCTTTAAAGCAGAAATAAAAATCAGTGTCCTCCGTAAGAAGTGCCTTCTAACTGTTAATGAAAAGAACCAGCTAATGATGCATGATCTACTTCGAGACATGGGCAGAGCAATCTGTCAAGAAGGTGACCCAGAAGACCGGACTAGATTGTGGCTCAGCCCCGAAGATGCGACAGATGTATTGGAAGACAAATCTGTAAGTACTTTTTCAATAAAAGTTTAGAATGGCATCATACAAGAGAAGCCTATGTATGCGTAACATAGTCGGTTTTCCAACCCCTAATAGATAGAATTCTTTCTATTGGTTTGAACTTGCATTAAGAAGGCTCAGTCAGGCAAAATCATCCAAACTATATGTTTTGCCAACCAAACTTCATGTGTACATACTATTATAGCTTTTGTTAACAAACCTGTGGATAAAGAATTTGGTTAACACATGCAATTTTCATGTGTGTAAATCATTTGCCTTTTTTTAATAGGAAACTACAAAAGTTGAAGGACTTGCCCTAAATCTGCGAAGCTTGGAAAAGGCTAGTTTCGGTACTAAAGCATTTCGCAAAATGACCAAACTGAAATTGCTCCAGCTCAACTATGTAGAGCTCACCGGAGAGTACAAATTTCTTTCCAAAAATTTAAGATGGTTGTGCTGGCATGGATTCCTTCTAGATTCGATACCAGGTGACTTTGATCTAACAAGCCTAATTGCTATGGACCTGCAGTTTAGCAAACTCAAAGTAGTTTGGAAGGATTGCAAGGTAAGTTGGAGAACTAAACCGAATGTGCATTATTATTGCATTCAAGAAGTTTCAATATTGAGTCTTTTTTTATTCTGTTATTTAATAAGTTCATGTTTTAGTGGGAAAAATAAACAATCAGTTATTTTATTAGTAGGATGATGAAGTATTAAGATGTGAGAGTGGGTTTTAGGTCATGATAAGAGAAGTCTTTTAAATAGGTCTTTTATCAATGTTATTCGTTGAACTGAATTAAAATGAAATAGCATATTCTCTCAAGAAATTAGTGTCTATTTGTGTTGTGTATTTCTCTTCCTCCTACAAGGTATAATAATCCCAACCGAGTTGTTAGTTTTTTCTGTCTGGTTTTATACATACATTATGTTCACTTTCTCTTCTTTTTGCATATGTTTTTATCAGACCTTTTTGGATTTTAATTTCCATTTTAATTTTGTTTTTGTGTAACAGTTGCTTGAGAAGTTGACAATCATTAATCTGAGTCATTCTCATGATCTAACAACATCACCAGACTTTTCAAAAGTCCCAAATCTCGAGGAGTTGATATTGGAATGCACGAGTTTGTCTGATGTCCATGAATCCATTGGTGATCTCAAAAGACTTGCTTTGGTAAATCTTGAACACTGCAGAATGCTTAAAGATCTCCCACTGAATTTATATAGATCCAAGTCTATTGAAACTCTTCTACTTAATGGTTGTTCAAGATTTGAAAACTTGGCTGAGGGCTTAGGGGACATGGTATCATTGAGAACTCTGGAAGCAGACGATACAGCTGTAACAAAAGTACCATCTTCCATAGTAAAATTGAAGAACCTGAGATCTTTATCTCTATGTGGTTTGGAACGGTTAACTGGCTTTTTGCCCTATTCTTACCTGAGATCTTCAGGTCTCCGTGGTTTGGAAGGGTCCCAACCAACTGGTTTTTTGCCTTCTTTGTTAGATGGCTTAAACTCTTTAAGAAAATTAGCTCTTGCAGACTGCAGTTTAACAGATGATGAACTCCCTGAGGATCTCGGGAGCCTAAGTTCCTTAGAACATTTAGATTGTGGACAAAATTCTTTTTGTAGACTGCCAAGCCTAATTGGTCTTTCAAAGCTGGAATATTTGTGTTTAAATGACTGCAGAAAACTTCGTGCAATCCCAGAATTACCGACAAATCTGAAAGTTCTGAGAGTGTTAGGCTGCACAGCATTGGAAACAATGCCAGATTTTTCAAAAATGTCAAGTATAAGAGAACTGTATTTATCTGATTCGTACAAACTCACTGAGATTCCTGGCCTGGATAAGTCATTAAACTCCGTGACAAGGATTCATATGGAAGGCTGCACCAAACTCACCACCAATTTCAGAAAGAAAATCCTACAGGTCAACCCTTCTCTCTCTCTCTCTCTCTCTCTCTCACACACACACACACACACACACACACAGATGCACATCCACGTCCACTGCATGTATACACATGAATGAATACGAATGTATTTACACAAATTTGGCTCTACATGGTATAGGGATGGACTTCTTGCGATGTTGGAGGCATTTATCTTGAAGGGATTTATGGTATTCCTAAGTGGTTCAGGTTGGTCGGTAATGAGTACAATGAAGTGGATTTTGAAGTGCCCCAAATTTTCAGTTGTGATTTAAAAGGGTTAACGTTGTGTTGCGTTTACTCTTCAGACAACCCAAAACCAAAAGATGGTCTTGGCATTACGGTTAGAAATATAACGCAGGGAACTACTTTGCACACCTGGCCAGCAATTGCCTCTGTAAAAACAGACAGTAAACCTGTAGAATATTATCTTTGGCAGGGACAACTATCGAACGATAGGCTCAGTTTGCAAGGTGGGGATAAAGTCTTGCTTTCTGTATTTGCTACAGTTGATTTTGTGAGAGTGAAGAAAGCAGGGGTCAATCTAGAATGGGTCAAAGTTATGAAGGAAAATATGGATGATTCGGATCCTCATCTGTATGATTTGGACCCAAATCCTGATTGGTTGTCGAGAGCTCCAGATGAGGCAGGACCAAGCCAAGGCGAACCATTAAGAGAATTAGTTCTTGCAAGCTGCAATTTAACTGATACTGCAATCTACAACGATCTTGGGAGTTTAATTTCTTTAGAATACTTAGATCTTCGAAAAAATAATGTTCTTAGCCTTCCCTGCCTCAGTGGTTTGGTAAAACTTGAGCAGTTATATTTAAATCATTGTAGAAATCTTCGTGCAATCCCAGATTTACCAACAAATTTGAAAGTTCTGGAAGCAGCTGGCTGCACTGGATTGGAAACAATGCCAGATGTTTCAAAAATGTCGAACATGAGAGAACTGTATCTATGTGATTCGTTCAAACTCACTGAGATTATAGGCTTGGATAAGTCATTAAACTCCATGACAAGGATTCATATGGAAGGCTGCACCAATCTCACTGCCCAATTTAGGAACAACATCATGCAGGTAAATCCTTCTCTTTCCCTCTCTTATTTTTCTTTTTTTAACACATAAACAGACGTACATGTTACATGTGCACATGCATGCATAAGAATGTATTTCTTATACAAATCTTGCTCTGCATGGTATAGGGATGGGCTTCTTGCGGATATGGTGGCATTTTTCTTAATGGAAATGATATTCCTGATTGGTTCGACTTTGTCAATGAGAATAACTTTGTGTATTTCACTGTGCCTCAAAGTGATGGTCGTAGTTTTACAGGGTTAACTCTGTCCTTTGTTTACTCTTTAGACCTCGAACCTAAAGCTCCAATTACCATTACCATTACAAATTTTAGCCAGGGTACTGATTTTGACGCCTTGATGACACATGCCTCGCTACACTATCTCTGGAAACCTGAAGAGCATTATCTTTGGCAGGGACAATTATCAAATGATGTGCTCCAATTGCAAGAAATGGACAAAGTCCGAATTCACATAGTACCTCATGATGATTTTGCCAAGGTGATGAAAACCGGGGTTAATCTAGTATGGGATAAACTTATGAAAGAAAATATGATTGATTACAATATTTGTGGGTATAAACATCATCCATCTCAAAATATGGTCAATGATTATGCGGCTTACTCAGTTGGAATTACTTCTCGGGTGGAGGTTTTGAGTAATCACTTAGATTTTGAAACTTCAGGTTCTAAGAATGTTCGCATGATTGGTATTTTGGGGATGCCCGGCATTGGAAAAACGACGCTTGCCAAAGCCATTTATAACAAATTTGAAGGTAGCTTTGAAGTTAGGAGTTTCCTTGCAGACGTGAGGGAAGTATTTGCAAACCAACGCAGTAATGGTCTGGTTGGTTTGCAAGAACAACTTCTAAATGATATCTTGAAAGGAGAGGGCATAAAGGTTGGATCTGTTGCTAAAGGGATTGATATGATAAGAGAACGACTTTTCTGTAAAAGAGCACTTGTCATAATTGACGATGCAGATGATCTACAGCAACTAAAAGCAATAGCTGGAGCTCGTGATTGGTTTGGTCATGGAAGTAGAATTGTTATAACAACAAGAAATCAACATTTGCCAGACCAAGTTGGAGTGGATAGCACATATATGGCTCAAGCAATGGATGAAAAAGAAGCTCTAGAGCTCTTTAGTAGGCATGCCTTCGAAAGAAGTTATCCTAATCAAGAATATCTTGACCTCTCAAAACGTGTAATTCGTTACTGTCAAGGTTTGCCACTAGCACTTAAAGTTTTAGGGTCTTTTCTAAAGAAAAGAACCACGACAGAGTGGAAAAGACATTTGGGGAAACTGGAAAGAAGTCCTCCTGATGGAGATATTCAAAAAATACTCAGAATAAGCTTTGACGGGCTACCTGATCATAAAAAGAGAGAGATATTCCTTGATATATCTTGTTTCTTGATAGGAATGGACAAGGACTATGTAACACAAATATTAGATGGATGTGGCTTTTATGCAACGATAGGAATCAGTGTCCTAATCGAACGGTGCTTTGTAACTGTCAGTGAGCAAAACAAGCTGATGGTGCATGATTTGCTTCGAGACATGGGAAGAGAGATCGTTCGTAAAAATGCCCACAGTCACCCTGAAAAATTTAGTAGATTGTGGAAACCTGAAGACGTAACAGATGTATTGAGCGATGAATCTGTAAGTACTTTCCCAATAAAGTTTTAGAATGCATCATGCAAGAGAAGCATATGTATATCCCGTGTCTATAATAAATTAAAATGCCCTTTTCCATTTCTTTTTTTATTTTGTTTAGTACAAGCGATAGTCTAAACCAAAGTAAAAGAGGGGATTCTTACACATCCACACTACCAAGGTGCGATATGAATTTGAACCTGAGACCTTAGTCTGCAAGTTTAGACCATTTTTCACTTCGCTAGACCCCGTTGCCATTTCTTATATTATATCCATTAAGATCAAAGCTCAATTAGGCATAACCAACAAAAAATATGTGCTTTGATTGCAGACACAAACTATAGGGCGTAACATGGTCCAATACTATTAATTATACCTTTTGGTTAATACATACACGGATTTTCATGTTTGTAAATCATTTTTCTAACTCGGTCTCTTTTTTTAACAGGGAACTAAAAAAATTGAAGGAGTTGTTCTACATTTGGATAAAAAAATTGAAGGAGTTGCTCTACATTTGGATTTGGATGTAGATTCGGATCTAGATTCAGATCTAGATTTGACTAGATTCAGTGCACAAGCATTTACCAAGATGAAAAAACTGAGGTTACTCTACCTCAGCAGAGTAGAGCTCACTGGAGAGTACAAAGATTTTCCCAAAAACTTAATATGGTTGTGCTGGCGTCATTTTCCTTTAGAGTCCATACCAGATGACTTTCCTATGCAACCAAAACTAGTTGCTTTAGACCTGCAATATAGCAAACTCAAAATAGTTTGGAAGGATTGCAAGGTATAACAATTTCAACCTTCTGTTGTTGGTTCTTTCCTTCACCTTCTCTTCATTTTGCATTAATTTCTGTATCAGAGACCTTCCTTTCGGATTTTAATTTCCATTCTAATTTCGTTTTTGTGTAACAGTTGCATCAGAAATTGAAAATCCTTAATCTCAGTTATTCCATTCAGCTAAGCGAATCACCAGACTTTTCAGAACTCCCAAATCTCGAGGAATTGATATTGCAATCCTGTTGCAGTTTGTCTGAGGTTCACTCATCCATCGGGGATCTTGGAAGACTTTCTTTGGTAAATCTTGAAGGCTGCAACAATCTAGAGGATCTCCCACTGAATTTCTATAAATCCAAGTCTATTGAAACTCTTATACTGAATGGTTGTTCAAGATTTCAAAACTTGGCCGATGGCTTAGGGGACATGGTATCATTGACAATTTTGGAAGCAGATAAGACAGGCATCGGACAAATCCCAAGTCTCGCCGGTCTTTCAAAGCTCAAGGTCTTGTGTTTGAATGCATGCAGACAACTTCTTGCAATCCCAGATTTACCAACCTATTTGTTTGTTCTGAAAGCAAATGGCTGCCCAGAATTGGAAACAATTCCAGATTTTTCAAAAATGTGGGATATGAGAGAATTGTATCTACGTGATTCGTTCAAACTCACTGAGGTTCCAAGCTTGGATAAGTCATTAAACTCCATGACAAGGATTCATATGGAAGGCTGCACCAAACTGACTGCCGATTTTAGGAACAACATCCTACAGGTCTCTCTCTCTCACACACACACACACACACACACGCACACAAACACAGAGGCACAGCTCCAGATGCGGCCCATGTAATAATATATGCATGCATGTATAAGAATGTCTTGCTTCTGGTGTGCAGAGATGGACTTCTTGCGGATTTGGTGGAATTTATTTGAATGGAGTTTATGATATTCCTGAGTGGTTCAAAATCGTCAATGATGTGGACAATATCGTCTTCTTTGAAGTTCCTCAAAAATCCATGGGTCGTGATTTAAAAGGGTTGACTATATGCTTCGTTTATCTTGTTTTAGGCCCGAAACTTGAAGATTCTGAAGGTCCTATTGACATTATCGTTAGAAATCTTACCAAACGAACTGCTTTGCACACCCAGATAGCATTTGCCTCCTTAAGAACTTACAGAAGACCAGAAGACCAATTGTTTTTCTCATACGGACAGGTAGACCATCATCATCTTTGGCAGGGACAATTGTCAAACGGTGTGCTCCGTTTGCAAGGCGGGGACCAAGTCTCCATTCTTGTAAGGCCTCTAGTTGATTTTGTGAGAGTGGAGAAGACCGGGGTTCATCTAGAATGGGACAAAGTCATGAAGGAAAATATGGATAATCCGGATCGTCATTTGTATGATTTGGAAACAAATCGGGATTTTTCAGGGGGAGTTGATGACGCATTTTTCAGGGGCAGTGTTATACATGAACAATTAGCAGTGGAACCATATCTGGATTTTTTTGGGGGAACTGATAATGAGGGAGGACGGAGCCATGACGCATCTGTTCCCGGTGATCAAATGAGTGCTACAGTTGAAGAATCAGCAGTGGAAGACAATCCTTTTGGCATGGCGGATGATGGAGCAGGACGGAGCCATGATGCATTTGGTCGCACTAATCAATCGAGTGTTGTGGATGAACAATTAGCAGTGAAGGGGTGTTTCGGGTATCTTAAAAAGTTTTTTATTTAATATTTTCTTCAATTGTTTTTCCCACCCACGTTGATTGTGATTGGTTGCCAAAGAATTTAGTTGACGGGAATGATTTAAGATTGAATTTTCCCTTTTTTTTTTTTTTTTTTTGGCCAAAGAATTTAATTGCAAAGGAAAGGGTCGCAACCTTGAATTGAATTCTACACATTGCAGGAAGCCAAATTATTTTATTTTATTTTTTCCTTTTCCTTTTCTTGTTTTAGCAAAAGAAACTTTACACATTGCCTGGAACCAAATTCTGCATTTTCTTTCACTTGAAAAGAAGACGCAAATCCCTTACTTAAACCTCCGCCAATGAGATAATCTACTAGGGTTAGCATGGAAGGGCAGGGGCATGGCTCTTGAGTAACCTTTTTCTGATTGATCTTAGTATGTGCTTCCTTTGAACAATCAGGATAACATTACAGGTTAGTTCGCTTTAAGTAGACCAACACCCCAATGCTGGTTAAAACAGCAGCACTTGCCAAAACTCCAGTGTGGAGAGACGTCCATCCCGTTTTCTGGGCCGTTGTTGTACCTGACTGCAATATGGTTCTGTGGCCAGAATCAGAGAAGTCCAGATGCAACCTTAGAACCTGAGAGAGAGAGAGAGAGAGAGAGAGAGAGAGAGAGAGAGAGGCATAAGGAAATAAATCATACAGCGGAGAATAATTACACATCAAAACTTGACATTAACAATCTGACCCTATCATCAAAACTCCCCTAAAACCTCCATTTATTATTGGATATTAGACAAGGGGAGTGACGACCAAGAGTTTGCAAGACAACTATTGTGCAAAATGCGCAAAAATAAAAAACAAATGTGTTAGAAATAAAATAAAAGAAGCAAAGAAGCAACATTTGTAGTACCTTCAGTCCCACTCCTCGTGCATGGCTGACTGCACTAACAAGATCATCATCAGTTGCAAGTAGAACTCTATCACCTTCATCATCTTCAAACTGGTGGAACAAATTACTGAAGTAAACACAATCTGAAGTTTTACAGCAGAATAAAATCATATAACACCACAAATAGCTCAGAGTTTTTACCAATATATGAGGACGATCATGAATCATTAGCAGCACCAATCCTTTGCATGACAGCAGATAACAGCTCATCTAAATTTTCCATGCCTGAAGAGAACAGAGAAAACAAATTTAAGTAGGTCATTGTGGGTTGAATTCTATAGTATTGTTGTAAACAGCTGGGCATGTAAGCGCAAAAACATTAACCATGTCCATCATCACTGTCACACCTCTCACCACACTGACTGCTTTTCTATCCCCAGTCAAACCCAATCTGCTGATCACGCCCAGTAGCTACACTTATATGACGAAACCATGTGTCAGTATACAACAAATTCTGTGCCACAACTAATAACACCATCACCGAGCTTACTTCTGCATACCACTGTCATATAAGCTGCCATTAATGTCCCCACCCCAAATATAATCATAAATACAACTCACTAATACTCACCCCATTACCCCAAAAGTCAATGAGCTATATTGGTCTAGAGGTACAATGAGAATTCAAAATCCCAGTTTAGAGCCTCTAAAATAGGAGGGGAGAAGTATACCCCCTATTTCGTAGTTTATACCTAGCTATCTATCCACTGCAAAACAAAAATATACTCCCCAAAATTTATAAATAAATTAAAACTTCGTCTTCCCAATGTATCACCCTTTTAATAATCAGCAAAATGAAGAGAAAAACATGAAGAAAAAAAGCTGCAAGTAAAAATAATTGTAAACATGTTTCTTTCCAAAGCTAGTCCGACTTCCATAAGTTCAATAAGTCCACTTAGGGAACCAAAAGTCCTTTCTCACTGTGACTTTGAAACTTTCTTGTTTTCCGGTACTGCATGATCATATTTGTTACTTCATATAATTTGCATTGTTGATTTTCTAATTACTTCCATCTCAGCCCCCGTATTGTATTTTAATTCATTCACAATCCCTTAGCATTCGATTTAATTTTACAAGTTCACTAATCTGGTTCTTTGAGTTTTCATGCATTTTAGCAAATCCTTAGGCTGTCCAACATCACAATCACTCCACAAAATGTTCATTAGCTAGGAGTGATATATAGGTAACCAAGGATTGACCAAAAAAGGTAACCAAGGAAAGTCATATACAAGCATCCTTGCAATGAAATGTTGCCTTCCACTGCCATTTACCACAATTGATCCGATGCATTCGACCCTGAGATCTTCAAACTTGAACGCAAATGAATTTCCAAGACCAAGAGAAGATAAGGGAACTTTCCATCTGTCCCATCAGAAGCCATTAGTGCAGGCAATTCACTGCAAAAAAATCCCCTAGGTATAGTTAATGAGCTAACCAGGTTACCAGGAAACCAAATAATCAAGGAAGCAATACGCAATATGCAGTTGAGTAAATGGTTTTTCATATCCCAATCAGTCTCACATCAACAAAATTTAAGTGACGTTCTTGGAAAATTTTGCATACCTTTGAGTATCACAATCATCAGGTGGCTCCAAAGCAAGTGCTGAATCCCAGAATTTTTGCATCATTGTGTTTGCCATAGTGTTAGCAGTTCCTGAGCTACTTTCAACCTGGGAAAGAAATACAAAATAAAATAACTACTTAATCAACTCATCCTTGGATTTTACGAAGTTGAAAAGGAGAGTAGCACAAATCCAACCGTGCTCTAGTAGCATCACCAAAGAAGCAAATAAAATACTAATGTGTAGACATAAGCGTGTTAACGAAGACGACTAATCTGTCCATCATTTAGCACCATAACTATAAGCATGAAATGGAAGTTAGAACATAAGGTTCATGGAGTTGACAAAATAATATCATGGTAATTTGAAGCTTCAAGCTCTGCATTTTGAACAGAAGATACTTGAAACCTTGTAATCCACTCTATCTGCCTCTTACGAGACTGCTTAAAGTCAACTTTGGTAAAGAAAACCCCAGTTTGTTGTTCGTCACTTAATTTTATTGATTGTTAGAAATGACAGAAACCTCTGAATTTGTCTTCTCAAGACAGCTGCTTGAATTAATCATTTGAACCCCTCTTACCACATCATATTATCCAAAACTTGCAAACTTAACAAAAAATGAAACTCCCCCGCTTATTATTGAAGAAAAAACTAAAATTATTTATTCAAGTTGTAGAGGAAATCTGAAGGTTTTCCTGCTAAAGTATGAGATTACACTAAATAAAGTGCAAAAACTGGTAGGGCATCTAAACAGTTGGTCATGGGTAACATTAACTACAGAAAAATAATGGGGCAATAATAGAATCCTGAAAACGTACCTGGTTGTGTGAGCACCCAAATGTCTTGATATATATAGTCTTGCATAAAGAAAAAAAACACAGAAGTTAGCGAAAGAAAATCATCACTGGAGAGGGAAAGAGAGATAGAGAGAAATACCTGAGTTCCAGGGATTTTGGGAGAGAGAGGAGCAAGGGGGTCTTGGATTTGAGATAGCTTATTGCTATTGCCATTGGGATTGGGTTTGTTGTTGTTCTTGTTCTTCTTTGGGTTCAATCCGACGGCTGTTATGGGCAAACGAAAACCCGGAGGAGCTCCACCTCCGCTCCCACCTAGCAAATCCTCTATGTCCTCCATTTCCTTAACTAACCTACACGCACTGCAAAACAACGACCCGCGATGGTTGGAGCTTCAAGTTCAAACACACAGACGACGGACAGAGTGAAGGGCTTATGTAACAGCTAAATTTCTAGAATTCTGGAAATAGCCCAATTTTGCACTTTTAAAGATTTTTGGCCCAATTTTGCACATTTTAATAACACACTGGGACTCGATTATCTTTTTATTTAATTTTATTTTTTGCCCTTTAAGAACATACATGATGTAAAGTAAAATGAACTCCTGCGCTGTCAAGGGAAACGTTATATACGTAATAGATTTTATTTAAGTTATGATAAGGTTTTCTTTAGCCAAAACGTTGCTTCACACTAATGCCACTTTATTTTTATTTTTTTTATTTTTTTTTTTGAAAAAAGACTAATTTAGTTGTCAAAATACCCGAATAAAAAGTGTACTAAGAAAAAGAAACTTAATAACATTATATAAAGTTTTAATCAGTTTCAGTATCTGAATCTTTATGTAATCAAAATAAGCTTACTAGTTGAAAGCAAAATAAAATACATAAATATATATAATTATTATTTTAGTTCTTTTTTTTTGCAAAATAAAAATGTAAAGGGATGGAGGAAACTCGCTTGAGAGTCCTTTTAGTCTTGGCATTGGAATCGATTCTCTTTATTGTAGTTGGAGGAGAAGATGCTCCATCTCCCTCATTTCTTATTCCACTCTCTTTGGTTGATGATTAATTTTATTATAGGCACTTACGCAGTTTCCTCATAACACATATAGATATTAAATGTTTGTTTCGAGTTATTGGAGAATGTTTTTCATTACATAATGAAAAATTTCATGGAGTGATGAGGGAATGTTTTGATATTCACATTGAAGATTGTGTTCAAAAGCCAAAAATTTAAGAGATTTGGTATGAACCGTCTTTACTTTGCTCTCTTTTCATTTGCAAAGTTGAACACGCAAGACATATAAACCTGCATAGATTTCGATATATCATATATCTATATATGTACGTATTACTAAATTACATACGCAAAAGAGATTTTTTACTCCATCAAATATATTGACGTTTTCCCTAGAATAAAACATGTTCTGAAGTTTATAACAAAACCATCCTAATTATCTTCATCATTATAATATATACAATATGTACATATAAACCTGCATAATTATATCCTAATTGATATTTGAAGAAAAAAAAAAATATAATATTTTGATGTTAGTTTAATGGTTGCGATATCTGCAATATGAATTCTAATGGTTTTATAAAGTTTTAAATGACACTTTTCTTTTTCCTTCAGAAAGGAACTTAATTTTATAAAGTTTTTCCATATACACTTTTTTTTCTTTTTCCTTGTTGTTCCTTCCTTTCCCGATTTTAATGATGTATGATTCTGAAAAAAATAAATAAAGGAATTTTAATTTTATCCGTAATGTGTACAAAAGCTTCATGCGAATGTCAAATTAAAAAAAAAAGAATTTTTATTTTTAGCACTTGGAATATTTAAGCTGGAGTGGAGAGGATGGTGGCCTCTAACCGGTAGTTTTTGACTACAACAGATCTGTTTTCTTTTTCTTTTTTGGGGCAAAAAGTTATTTTTTGTCCCTGTAGTTTGCTAATTTATCATTTTTGTCCATATAATTTTATATTTTGTCAGTTTTACCTTTTAGTTTTAAATTCAGAGTAATTCAACGACATATTTCAATTTATGTCAAATTCCTCCCAATTCCGACATTTTGACTCCTAATTCCCTTTACCCGGCCACTCTTTGTCTTTTCTGTTTCCCCTTGTCCCTATTTCTCTCAATACGCATTTTCTCCAAATATGAGTTGGGCATTGTTGGAGGAAAGATCACAAAAAGTACATATGCAGAATAATGGAGTAGGACAATGAATATAGAGAACCAGAGAATCGGATATTAACAACTGATTGCTTGTAAGCTTCGATACAACAATATAGCCCATTCTACAATGCCTATTTCTAACTGGAAATGCACTTCTACACAACTCTTGAAGTAATTCCAAGAGATATACAGACACAACACTTGACTTCTAAGAGTACAACTTTTCATATAACTAAGAGACATGAAACTTTGTAGGAACGTATACAACTGACAAGATTATTTTTATCCTTAATTTTGCAGACAATGCATTGCTGTCATGTACGTCGTTTTCCTCCCAATTTGATGTGGACCTTCAATTTTAGCCGCCCAACAGATCGTGCAGCTAGGAGCAACAGAAAATTGTTGGAATATTGATTCCAACCTATGCACACTCACAAACTTTTGCTGCACAATCTATCGAGCATTAAGATTAAACAACAGAATGCAGAGGAATAAAAACTGAACATGAAACAGAGGAGCTTCTTTTGCTCTCGGTCTACTTCTATGCCATATATTCTGGAGGAGACTTGCTCTCCCTCAAAAGTCTTCCACGGACAGAATCATGTGGGCTTTTTCTTTTATGTGCTCAAAATGCTCAAGGAGCTTGACCTTGACTTGGGTATTTCATTATTGTCTGTGCTGCAACACCCAAACCACTACCACAAAAAATAATCACGAAACAACTCGTTCAGTTCAGCATACAAGTCCGAAGACCAACTAATGAAATGCAAAGAGATTAAAAGGCTTAGGAAAAAAGAAAGTCATTTCTTGTTCTTGTAGTTTGATGGTTTATCATTTTTGTCCTCGTAGTTTATAAATTTTTGTTAATTTTATCCTTTTAGTTTTCAATTTGGAACACTTCGAGGACATACACATTTCAATTTCTATCAAATTCCTCCCACTTCCACATGTTTGACTCCCAATTCCCTTGCCAATGAAGTAATGCAGTGAATATAGAGAACCAGAGAGTCTAATATTTGTTAAGATTTTGTAGGGACAGATCTTTGGTCCACTACTAGCAACATTGATATTGTCCGCAACTTAACCACATATTTAGCAGGTGTGAGATTTTATACAAAAAGCCTTGATGTTATTAGAAGTGAAGCTATTAATTTAATATATGGAACGTTCTATTTTGTTAATAGCCGATGTGGGACTCTGCGTATTCTTCAACAATATTAACAACTTATTGTGTAAGCTTCGATACAACAGTATAGCCCATTACACTGGCTGTTTATAACTAGAATTGAACTTCTACACAAAACACACAACACTTGAATTAATTCCAAGAGATCTAGAATTGTCCAAAAAACAAAAAAAATATAGATATATAGACACAACACTTGACTTCTAAAGAGTACGAATTTGCCTAGAGACAAAACTCTTCATACATTAATTGGTTGGGTCAATCTTCCCCTCTGAAATTTCGTGCTGGTTTCTTCTCTTTTTTCCTGCCTTGTTCCCTTTCCCTACCCCTTGCAAGCTCCTTGCCGTGTATCTTGTAGAAAACAGAATGAAACAAATACCAGAATGAACAAAGTCAGAGCGACAACCAGGCCTCAAAACACACACTCAATGATCTCACACAAACACAGGAAAAATAGAAGGAAGAAGACTGGAGCAAAAACAGACAAGTTTCATTCAATCTAATCAAAACAACAACGGCTCCAATACAAATAGAGGCAATGCCTATTTTGAGAGGTGGGCTCGTTTGGGAGTGCTTCTTTCCGAAGTGCTTATGCTAGTAGAGCTTATGTCAGTAGCGCTTATGACATAAGTGCTTCTACAAAGAAGCAGTTTGCCGTTTGGATGTCACATTTAAAAGTGCTTTTACACTACATAAAAGCGCTTTTGATATTTTGATGAGTGTTTGGCTGACACAGTAAAAGCGCTTTTAAAAGTACTTTAAAAAAATTTAAAGAATCCCAAAATATTATAATAAACACAGGAAATAAAAATTCATAGGATCCCAAAATAAAAACACGACTTTAAAAAGTATGAACTTCCCAAATTAAATTCATAGGAAATCTAAAATAACAACACAATCTGTAGACATAAGTGAGACTCAAGAGGATATAAAAAAAAAGGAAAAAGTTTGAGGAAATGACACCGTCTTGAAGCTCGTATATAAGAACAGTACAAGAAGAAAGGAAATGACTTTGCTTTCCTTAAGAGAAAAAGAAAGAAAGAAAGGGTATTTTGGCATTTAAAAAAATTAAATATGGATATTTTTGGCATTTTAAAAGTTTCATTAAAGGGAGCCAAGTGCTTCCCTTGTTTTTGTCCTGCAGCGCTTTTAAGAAGAAGCACCTCTCAAGTGCTTCTTCCAAAACCACTCCAAGTGCTTTTGAATCTCACCCAAAGCGCTTTTACAATTTTTGCCAAACACCATTTTTAAAATACATAAGCGCTTTCACCCATTTAGAAGCGCTTTTCGCTGCTTCAAAAGCACTCCCATTCAAATAAAATATGATCGGCATATTTTATATCATATATTTAACCCTATTCTTAGTATAATTTGGTTAATATTTTGGAAGAATTTTGATACTTTGAATTATATTTTCAATATAGGGCTTTCGACTTCCTCCGGAGCAAAACATAATCAAATGGACGAATTTTGGAGTAATTCCAGTTGGAGGACGTTCGTGAGTTATTTTCTGACCTTTCTACTGAGCGGTTATTTTCTGGCAATAAAATAAAGGAGCAATGCGCGGTGCTGGAATAGTGACGTGTTGGGCCTTTATTACGTTTTTGGAGCCCAAGATGACCTCGGATGGGTTCGTGGCCTTCTGGAGAAGTGTTCAGAACGTTTTTATCTTTAAAACGAGCTATCTTGAGCCTGATTTGGAGGAGATTTGAGCCTAAAACGTGGCTGGGCAGATTGTTGGCAGATTCTCCTAGTCCAATTTGGACTTTATTTCCTAGTTTTATTTTATTTTAACCTAGTTTCCTTATGGAGATTGGGCAGCTGGGTTTTAGGAGGTATTTAAGTTATGTTTCAGGGAATTTTAGGATCTCTCTTTTGGCTTTTGGAACGCGACTTTTGCTAGGGTTTTTGAAGAACTTCTACTTCAAGATGTTTTTATTCTTATTCATGGGAATGATATTTTCTTGGGCTTTAGTTATAATTATGCGTAACTAATTCTCTTTGCTAGGGTGAAGCCTTGAACCTTAACATGAATATGTGATTTTTATTTAATTGCTTATGATTGATTGCATGCATACTTTGAATTGTTAATCACTG